GGCGCGGAGGGCGGGGCGCGGAGGGCGGGGCGCGGAGGGCGGGGAAGGAACGTGAGGATCTCGCAGTCTCTTGAAACTGCGATGCGGAGGCTCTGGCGTGCACCGTAAGGGCCCGCGCCTCCGGGGGAGGAAGGGATGGTGATCTTTAGGGCGCAGGTTTCGCATGCACGTTGCGAGGTATGTGTGCGATGCAACGTGGCTAAATACTTGTTTGTGTTCGGTCTAATCTCACAGAAATATTCAAGGAACGAGTGAACAGAAGAAGTAAAAGAGGAATTTGACACTAATATATGCACTACTACTGTATGCAAATAAGTATTGCAATTTTAAACAGTACAGTGCCTTTGAAAATCTGAAACAAAAATTGGTTTTTGTTTCATTATAACGATTTTTAAATTTTCAATTCTATCTCTGTCTCTCTGTCTGTCTGTCTCTCTGTCTGTCTGTCTGTCTGTCTGTCTGTCTGTCTGTCTGTCTCTCTCTCTCTCTCTCTCTCTCTCTCTCTCTCTCTCTCTGGCACTTTTGTGAGAGGTTCAGAAGTGGAACGGACGAATTCTTCAATTCAGTTCTTTTATACATATTTGTATTTTCGCAAAATTATTTTGCTTTATTACTCATTTTGATGAGATTCATCTTGACATCCTCTGACTTGTCTTAGTCATCTTTAGTAATCAGATATTTCAATCTTGATGTATTCAAAGAATTAAGTTACTTTACTACAGCAAGCTTTTCATGTTATCTCATATTTGTATATTATCTTTCTGCTTGGTGTGGAATCATCGCAATGAACTAGCATAGTTTACTGTAACTGGTTAACTAATAGAACACATAATTTAATGTACACACATACATGTGAAAATAATGTTTCAGTAGTCTTAGAACATAATTGTCAAAACAATCTCAAGTGAAAATTCGCTCAAACTGGAACCAAAATAAGTCATGTCACTTTATAATTTGTTGTTCTTTTTCTTTATTAATAAATCAAAATCGACTTAATGAATTCATATATTTTCATCATTGTCAGATATCTACTGATTAATAGTTCAATATCAGTATTTAAGCGAGATGTCTATATCTGGAATGGATTAATGATTTGGTGTAGAGATTATGAGGATACAATGTGAATGATCGAGCAATGATAGAATGAGAAGAATAGAAAGGGGGGGAATCTGAGAAAATCTGCCATGAACCACACTGACCACCACAAATTGCACCTGAATCTATAGATACGGCTGGGATTCCAGAGTCCTGATGTGAAAAGCTACCGGTCTTCTCGCTTCGCTAAAGGGTTTGATTGAATATTTCGTGTTTTGTGCGCGTTTTTTCTGAGCGTTTGAGCAAGGAATTTTTGTCCCGTTAATGTAGTGCCATTTTTTAAATTATGGGAGTGGCGGTGTTCCACTCTCGCTGGATGGAGAGACCCGGTGCAGTCCTTGTCGGATGTCAGAAAGTCGAATTGAGGAGTGTTCTGGAGCTTATGACATACCGGTCAGAGATACTGACATCAATTGATGCTCTGAGTCATCTCGGTCAATAATACGCGACCGGCCATTATAATGTTGCAGTGTTGTTTGAAAGTTTGGCAAGGAATTTATTCATCTTTTGAGCAAGATATATTAACAGATAAACGGTCATTATGCATACTTCTAAATGCAGCATCTCATTATCTCCCTTTCCGGAAATACATCTTAATGCACCTTCCCACAATTGCGTCATATAACTAGAACCGCACTTGACCCAGACGTTCCTACAGCTAGTAGGAATATATTGAGACGCCCTTGAGGTACTGAGAGTGGCACGTGCATCGAAGCACGCGTTTCCGCTCCTATCTCCCCTCTCGTCTCCTCCACACCTCCATCTCGCCCTCCCCGCCCCATCCAATGCCTCGCCCGGCTCCGGTGTTACGCCGTCCCGTCCTATAATACCCACGCCCCTGGCCCTCTCGATGGGCATCGACCCTCCCTATGATACACGAAGTATGAGATTTGGGGGAAATTACTCACAAAAAATTGACTTAATAAATATGCCAAATATATAACATTCTAAAACCATTGCAATTGTTACCGCCAAACTGATACTATACCGGTGGGGCCCGGCTCAGCTGAATCCCTTCTCTCTGGTCTCTCCCAGTTCAAGTCTCCCGCCCCTCAATTCCTCCTCCGTTGAGGTCTTCCCTCACCTTTGGGAAGCTCCACCCCTACTCAGCTCTTGCCCTTTCAATTCCTCCCCAATCAGTCCTCCCCGCACAGTTCCTCCTTGCTCACTTCCTCTCTGCTCAACTCCGTCTCCGTTCAGATCAGGCCTTGCAGTTCTACTGTGACTCGTCCCGATTTCCCAACCGTTGTCCCGCACCGTTCCCAATCGTTCCGTCTCGAGATGGCCTCGCTTAGTACTAGCCTCCGTGTACCAGATCGAAATTTTCCCGCATCCGACCTCGCTCCGACCTCCCTCCGACCTAGCCCAATATAGCCACACGCTTGCAGTCTCGGCCAGCGAGCGCGCTTTTTATCTGGCTGTAAAATGACGTAGATCCTGTCAAAAATCCTACTATCGATGTCAATCATTCTCGGCAGTATCGACCTATTGGCTGGTAATTTCGGTGTGTTTTGCTTGTGGTTTTCGGTTTTGCTTTTGTCACGAGTACTTTTGCAAGAAGAATGTAATTTAATACAGAATTTAATTTAATAATAAAAACAATGTAATATATAAATAATTAAAATATCTTTAATTTCTCGCTACCGTACTTGTGCCTTGTGCAATCAAATTTTAATTATTCCTGGCAAGTGCCGTTTGTGCACGGATTATTAGTTACCTTCTCTATTGAAAGTGGGATAAATGATGCATTTGGTATGTTTAATAGAAACGCTTAAGCAATAAATATATTCAATTCATTTATTATTTCGTGTTTCTGAGCAAGACAACTACCTTGATCTTTTTCCCGTGAATGTAGTGCATATTTTTATAGTGGTGGATGGTAGTATTCTTCTCAAGCCGAATGCTTTCTCGACATGTGTGGAAGTGTAGTGCATGTAAGTGTAAGTGTGTATGAGTAATGCGTGAGAATAGTAGATCTAGGTAGAGGAAGGAAAATACACCCGCTTTCCTTGATCCCTACTTTAGGGAATTGCTCCAACTTTCGCCTGATATTGGTCGGAGAAACCAGTGAAATCCACCGATCAAATGAGCTGTTCTCTATAATTCTCTTCGAGACAGCATCTGAACCCGGTCTAGCTGTATTGGTTGTTAAAAATCCTGGCACCGTCTGGATTCGAACTCTACGGCCTCCTGGTCAGAGGCCCTGCATTTATTTCAGTTGATTAGCCACCTCAGCTCAAAATATTTTGTGACACATTCGTTAATCTTTTGTTCACAGACGCGGCGGGCGCGCCCAGATGACAGGCGTGTGATCCGTATCCGACGTTTTTGATTTGTTGATGGCCGTGACGTAACAATCGTTCTCGGACATGTCGGTCTCGGCGAACTGGTCACGTCCTCGAGAACGACCGGAACCGAGTGACTTCGTGTCCAGCTCTGGCACTCAACCACTCCCCTCCCGAAACCCCGCCTTTCCGCCCCCCCCGACGAACCGCTCGCACGGGTGGGCGCGCGTCGCCAGCGCCTTTTAATTTCGAGATTCCACAAGCGCCTATTGATTTGCAATTGTGTCGGCCGCCCCATGGCTCCACCCGCCCCGCTCTGGAATGTGCGCCAATATAATCATTGTTGCCGGCGCCCTGCCGGCCGCCCAGCGCAGCTCCGGGCCCCAACAGCCCCTTTGCATGTCTGCGACAGGGCAGTACCAGTAAAGCATACCCAACTCCCAACAGAACAGTAGAACTGCATTATGTAATTATAAAAATATACCAGAAGGTTGGCCCATCTGTTGCCGCGGCAGCGTCTCTGACACGAATGTCCAAGGAACTCGAAACAGTTTCACTGTTTTGTATTTTTCAGTCTTTCAGGGTATCTAACGAAATCATTGACAGTTCTCAAGTGGCCAGAGGCTACTTAAAGTTACGTTAATTTATGCGTTTATTTTAAATTAGTGATTTCCTGAGCACGTGCTGCTCAAATATGCAGCGCCCTTGGCGTGCCCTGGCTTAGCGGAAACCTAGGGGCAACCGGACTGGCCCTCTCTCAGCTTGTAGTGGCAGCCTGATCTGTAGTGACTGTAGTTTAGTGAAAGGGGTTTGGCACCTAAGCTTCCGAGAACAGTCTGGCGTGAATTCATGCATTTGTACAGCGCTGCGCAAAGCTCCACTTGTGTTTTTCATCTTGAATTAAGCTATACCCTTGAGAGTTCATACCACGTGGTGAAAACTCATTCCAAAGCAGTTTCTCACAGTTTGCCTTTTCAGTTGTATTATTATTTTTTTTCCTTTTAATAATAAATGCAATGGTCTTGTTCTCTATTCTCACAGTCACCAGAGAAACATGAAATGTACATTACATTACATTAAAGCCTGAAAGCCTCAACTCTTCTATAACATAAAGAGAGATGTCTTCTGTCATTTTGTAAGGCGGACGGAAAGTAGCTTCTTCACCAGAGGTCAAACTGTCAGTTAGAACGACATCCGTTGTATAAGAGAAGAGGCTGCTTTCAAAATAAACATTATTTTAGCAAATGTGGCCCACGTTAGTCTTCTGGCCAGATTCTATTAATTTATTCTGTAGTAAACAACTATCTAGTTGCGTTCTGTTATGCTAGTTGCGTTCTATCGCAGTTTGTAACCTGTTACATTATTTAGTTACCAACATAGCCAATTGTGAAATATTTGAACTGAAGTTTATACAAACGCTTAGCCAAACCTAGCCCGAACCAACAATCCGCGCAACAGAAATGTGTTAGAAGGAATGCTACAAATTTCGAGGGCTAATAGAGGAATAACAGATAACGTTTTTCTAATGAACACGCAGTGATAAATTCTATGAAACAAAGCTACATGATATGCAACTCCATAACAAGCGGCCTTTCCCCCAGGTTGATTGGCATCTCCCAGTTTCATCTAGGGCAAAGAGGTGCACATGTGTGCCTCACATTCCGGGGCAAGTGTCGCATTTAACGTCGTTTTACGTAATTTCCCAGGACATTTTCGCCGAAAAAAGTCATTACTTTTGCGTCCAATTCATGGTTGAGCACACTTACTCAGAGCTCTCATTCACGGACTCCCGTTGGCAGGCTCAGCGTTCATTCTCACCCTGCCACTCTCTGCTTCCAAATGTTACAAAATTCTAGGGCACAAACAGGTTTCTAGGTTACAAATCTCTAGCTGCCACACATATATGCATGAAGTATTGCCTAACTTTCAGGGGCAATTGTCATGTGTAATATTTTATGCAATTTCCCAACACTTTTTATCGGCCAAACGTCATTACTTTTGTCTTGAATTCATGGTTTGGAACACTTCACTGTGTATTCATTCACCAACTCTCTTTGACAGGCTCGTTCTCACCCTCGCACCATCTGCCCCCAAATGTTACCAATTTCTTGAACACAAACAGGTTCCTAGGTCACAAATCTGTAGCTGCCAGACATACGTGCATAAAGTGTTGCCTACCATTCAGGGGCAAATGTCATGTGTAACATTTTATGCAATTTCCCAACACTTTTTATCGCCCAAACATCATTACCTTTGTATTGCATTCTTGGTTTGGAACACTTCACTGTGTCCTTATTCACTACCTCTCGTTGGCAGGCTCGTTCTCACCCTGGCACCCTCAGCCCCAACGCCTCCCACGCGATGCCCTGCGTTTACCGAGCCACCCACTGCAGCGCGGAGCGAGCACTTTAAGCTCCAGTCAACACGCGCAGAGCGGAACGCGCAGGGCGCGGAGGGGGGCGATTTTTGTTTCAAATTTCTCCCCCTTTGCATTACGCAGCACGGGATTTGAGGATATATTGTTACGGTTATGGCGAAAGTACACACCGGGGGCGAGAGAAGTACTGGGAAACGGGGATGAGTTCCGGGGAGCCACACCGGAGAACGGAATTTTTCTCAAAGGAAAACTGTCCTGTGAGGAAACACTTGAAATGTTTATTTATTGGGCTTATTATTTATATAGTCAGCTGCATTAAAATATTATTTTACATATGTGAAACAAGGTTTATTTGACTATTAGCATTGTACTCGTTATTCGCACAAGTTAACAATCCCTTTGAGAATCTAAAGATTATGTAAACTAATGAAATTCTTTTCACTAGTAGAAACAAAAAAATCTACAAAATAAAAAATATAAAAAAGAATGAGAAATCAAAATAAAGTGTGAAAGAACATTAAAGAGATAATATTTAATGAAAGGTGAAGATAACACAAGTTAGCAATTATATAGTACTTACATACTAAAAAGAATTAGCTGCGAATTGAGATAGAAATGTATTTTATAGTCATGAATGCATTTTAACTGCATATCTGTTCAACGAATACCTCAACTCGTATATTATTTTATTTTTAAATTTTTTTGTTTTACGTATGATATAATGCGTATGATAAATTTTCTTCAAATAAAAATAAATAACTATTATTTATTATTTGTCATCATAATAGTATAATAATTAATTCAGGTGTGTCCACAGGAAAATACTCACAAAGTAGCCCGGTTGGCGTTTTGAAGTAAAACCCATTGTACAATAGCTCGATCACGGCAATACAAATAGATATTACATATTTTCGAATAATTCTAGGATTATTGAGTGATATATTTGAGTGGTATTCTTCATTAGTCAACTAGAATATAGGCGTAAAAACACGCATTAGTATTGCGAAAGGAACATGCGACACGTAATAAAGATATCATCTAAAATCGTTCTACAAAAATTATATATGGAATGGTTTTGATGTCATAACTCATAATCGTTGATATGCAAACAAAAAATTGCTTCTTTCAACAACTTCGAATTCCCAGCATCTAAAACTAGAGATGGGTAAGAATGATGCAGGCGCACTGTAACAGAAAAAAGTTAATCGTAAATCTTGAAAATTGATTCAGTACTTTGTGATACCAGGCTGCTACCATGTATTCATGTCTATACACATGTGTATCACTTTTATCAATTAAATCAATATCCTTTTATCAGTTCTCAATATAATCCAAAACTGAATTAATTATCACTATTGTCTTTATAAAACAACATTTTAGTTTGTAATGTTTCTTGGTCATCATACACGTTTCTCGTATCCCTTTAATATTGTCAAAGAATCAATCAACGCAAAAATAAACCCTAATAATACAAATAAAGCTATTTCTGTTGTTTAAATCAATGAAGTCTTCCAATGCAGGCAGCAGCTCATCATTGTCCCAAAGCAAACGAAGAACTGCTTCTTCTAATATCGGGTTTATTTTATTTCCTTCTCGGAAGTCGCAGCCCTTCCCTGGCCGGTCAGGCGGCTATGGAGTTCTGCGCTAAGTAAACTCTTGCCACAATCGTGTATCTCTGGACTCGGCCCAACAAGCCTCTTTCTGCGCCGGGGGGGGTGACAGATCGGGGGTGGGGCATGGGGAATGGGGAGAGGGAGAGGGGGGCGGCCGACACAACACTCAAAAGGCGACTTTCACTCTGGAGCCTGGCGCTGCCCGTGAATGAGACAAATTCAGGCCACCTCCGAAAGATATAATAAGCTCCCGGCTGACCACGCCACGTCGTGATGCCCGGACAGCCCGGTGGCTGGGGGGCGGTGGGGCGGATAGTGGGTGGGGGTGGCCCACAGTGAGGCGGAACACAACGTATCGGTATATAAAGATATAACTTTAAAATGTAAAATTACTTATTTCCAATGCGCGTAGAATTTAAAAGAAAACTATATGTCGTCCACCATGCGGGAGGTTTTTTATTAGATACTCATAAACTCGGAGAAAGTTCATAAACATCCATGTTAATAATTTCCAATACGCACAGAAATTGAAAGACATTTATGCAGGATCCGGCGTTTGAAATGTGTGTGTAGTTTTGTTAGATAATCAGGAACTTTGTTATATGCTCAGGAGCACGGAAAAGATTCGAAAATAATGAAATATTTTATATTTTGAATGAAAAGTTATATTGTTATAATTCACTGATAGGGGTCCTGACTGTATTTTCATTCTCAGTATTGCTACATACGACACGGCTGGCATCATGAGACAACAAGACTCCTGGGAAGAGGTCACCCAGAGTTAAATATTTACTATTCACAGATTGTGTTAAGTAACAGCAACTTCTTTTATATTTCTGGTGTGTAAAGAACTGTTGAAGTAAACTATCTTATGCTATGTCGTAAGTATACTTCATACATTTTAGAGTTGGATCCTAGAACGGATCTGTTTATATTTTCAAATTATTTAAAAAAATACAGAATATTTTATCGGGATTAATAAGTTTTGTTTTATTGCTTTAATTTAACTCTGTTACGAACATCATACTTTTATTTGTTATTCCAGTACAGAAATCAGCAATTGAAATTGTATTATTGCGCCAATGGGTACTTAAGCAGCAGCGGTCTGACGTCAGCAGCAGGTTAACAAGTTTAAAAGCAGGTCGCTTTTCAACTGTCATATCAATTAGTGACGAAGCTTAATGTAGCGCGCTCTATCCTGACGAACTGAAGCAAAAAGGACTGACAACTTTTTGAGATGGCACGTGGGTCAAGCCAAGACAGAGCTTGCGTAACACAAGAAGTCGCTCCCATTGGAAAATACAACACAGATGTTGAAGATTTGTAATGTCACTCATATTTTAAAATTGTATGCTTATACTAATTAATTATTACTTCGAATGTATTTTAGATTTCCTACAAATGTGCAAAATTCCAATGATACAATGTTGGCAATTATTAACCAAATCTCCAGCGGATAAAATTGGTACGCATATTCTTGCACCATGTAGTCCCAGTTCTAATGGATTGATTATTTCGCTTTTTGGCGCTCGTCAACTACAGTGCTCGTTATTCCCAACATTAATGTCGGCGTCAGGCGTTTCCCCTCTTGGTAACTTCGTCAGTGAGGCGGAATCGCCCACCCGCATAAGCTTCTGTCTGGTCTCCCAGAGTATGCAGAAGAGTAATGATTGATAGACTGAGTATGTGGAATTGAAGAGGAGTGGACAGAGATTAGAAAGAAAAGTTCGATCGCGGTCTGTTGCCAATTTGCTAGGGTACTGCTCAAACATTCGCGTGGTATTGATCAGACCAACCACAAGAAACTTGAACTTGAGAAACATGACCAACCACATGGCCACTTTAATAGAGTGAATACAACCCAAATCCGTAGCTCGTGTCAAAAATTCACCACAGTTGGATTTCGAACGATGGTAGATAATATAGAGCATGATGCTTGATAAGAATAGAGACTAGCCCCAGCGTTTCGAAACGATAACCTCCTAAATATACCACTCCCGCCGCTTTTGCCTTCCTCGCCGCCTGTGGATTACACTGCCACTAGAATATAAAAGATAAGACACGAAGGGGCAGCGCAAGCGGCGGTGTTCTGGAGACTGCGAGCTGTAAGCTGATACACTGTGATAAGGTGTTAACTCTTTAGTGTCAACTACGTTGTGGACTTCATGATTCTCGGAGTGATAACAGGGACCGCATTAGATTTTCAACTTTTATAGGTAATGCTATATTTTGACTTTGTTTACGGACTTCACTTGGAACAATGGATCTTCTAAATTGTAAGAAGATAATCAGTGTGAATTGAGAATATATAAATTAATAAAATATTTAAATGTTGGTAGAAAGATCAGAAATAATAATGATGAATTAAAAATGGATTAAATTCCAAATACCAGAATGGTTCATGAGATTGAAACCCTCGAGAACAAGATATGAAAGTAAACATGTGTGAACTAAATAATAGAATATCTATATCAAAATTCCATGTATTTCAAAAGAAACGATACAAAATAGTCTCTTTTTTTGAAAGACAAAATGTATTGCAATGCAAAAATAGTATTAGCTAATAAGTAATTGTGCGATTTCCAATACCCATATGTGTCACGACGTGAAACCAAAAATAAAGAAATAGTGCTGAAAGATGTGGGTAAAGTTACATATGGCTGTTCGGCAGCTTAGTACAATTGTCGATGAGGCGCAGACGCCGAAGCAAAATTTTCGCGCATGCACGTTCGAAGGTAAAAGCTTTGGAGTTCAGCTGTTGCAAGGGATGCGAATTTTTATGAAATTATTTTCACCCAATATTATTAAGAAAATTAAAGTGATATAAACATGATCGTTATCATTCTGATGAAAACAAAAATAGTTTTAATGTCTAACTGATTGTTTGATGTTTATTTTTATAATAAGATATTTATGAAGAATTGCGAAATTTCACATATTTTTATACTTCTCACAATCATATTATAGGCGAGTCGTTACAACAGGCTTCTAGGGAAACAATTGTCAGAATATTTTAAAAAATGTTTTATCCGTATAATTGTGAATTCATTTTAATTAATGTAGTTTCTTATAGCTATGAACAGTACTAGTTTGCTAATCTGGTTTAGACAAAATAGTATGAAGCAAGATGTAACTATCAATTTCTAATATTTTCTATAAACTTAGAAAGAAACATTTAGTTCTATAGATAGTCCTAGAGATAGTCGAAATTCAGTTATTAAATATTAATTTTTTTGTTGATTACATTGTTATTAATTCAGCATAATTTTTACCACGTGTGATTTGGAATTTACTGTTAATTCAGCAGTGATTTTGTAATTTGCAAACAACGCGTGGTATTTTAGAGGATTATTTTACGAATGAAAATATATATAGAAGTGGCTAAGAACGAGTGCCGATACACCGTTTCGGTGCAAAGAGTAGAGAGTTTGACAATCCGCCTTGGGCGTGGTTGTTTGTTCCGTGTCTCCCATGTATGTTTTGTCGCGGAGGGTCTGGCGTTCTCCTGGCCGGAGAACAGAAGAGCCCCCAAGCGTGTTGGTATCCAGTGTGCGATCGAATATGTGTCCCATCGAGACGTAAAGTGCAACAGGCTGTCGGCTGGATAAAAGCCCTAGAAAAAATAAATGTAGGTTATAAATAAATATTCATATCAACAAAATATGAATATAACTTTTAAGAATCACACATATTCAGGTATGTTGTGCTAAAATGAAAATGTGCGTTTGCGCCCATAAAACGAAAATGATAAAGTTGCACGGATTAAAAGTCTCTAACTGATCGAGTCGGACGAAACTAGTTATTTGTTCATAAGTGAAATAATCAGATATAGATAAGCTCATAGCAATATAATTTTTGTAATTCTGTAATGCTATATTGACGACAATCATACATAGCAATAAAAATCCACTCTCACCAGGCGACGTGTATTGAAGATTTAACAATCCTCCTTATGTTAAGTATAGTCGAATTAAACGGAAATGGAAACAAGTATGTAAAGATGAAGTATAAGTACACTGATACCAAGAAATGGTATATCTTTGTTTTTATATTTGTAAGGTATTAAGAAACGTGTTGATCAAAACAAACTTAACACACTCCGTTGCCATATTTCGGTGTAATTCCGTTAAGACCTAATACCCCGATGGTCGGCCGCCTACGTCCTCCTAGATCGACGTTCAGACCCACTGCCCGAGGCGGCGGGCGGGGCGAGCGACCAACCGGGCCGTGTCCGGGAGGCGGTCTTCCCGGGGTGGGGTAATGGAATTGTGGCAGCGTCGGGTTCGTCCCTTATCGCCGGCAGCCCCGCCACCACCCCTCCCTCCCTCTACCCCCACGCGCCATACAAAGGGCGGATGATTGGGGCCCCCAGTCGCCAGGGAATCCGCCTCCGCCCCCATCGCCGCCCGCGCCGCCGCCGCCGGCCCGCAAGTGTGTCACAAATACCGCCTTATTTGGGGCGTCCTTCGGAGATCCGGACACGTTGATAAGACGTGAATACTTCGTCAAGCCGCACGCGCTACCCGACGGGTGTCCGCCTACGCCCCCGGCCACCCCTCTCCACCCCTCCCACCGCCCCCGCGCGGAGGGGGTGTATTAAATTTGGCGGCTGCCACAAAGTGTTTCTGGCGCCGCGATATTCGATACTATTCAAGCCTGCGGGCGATGGCTGGAGAAACGGCCCGACCTAGAGCAACTAACTAGTGAGAGTCGGATTGCATTAGTTGCGAATTTGCTGCCCATATGGAGCAGCTGCTAGGAAATTTTAGCGTGAATGATGGCTCTCATACGCTGCTAAGGCTTGGTATATCTTTTTACACTGGCGAAATAGATAATATTTTAGTTCGTGAATGCCACGGGGCAAATTTGCGAATAGTATTGTAGGTAAATGTTACTTTTAAGGAAGAATATGTTTTGATGAAAATTAATGGGTTACCATGTTGTTTACAAATACTCAAGAGCTAATTCAATAATAACATTATTTTTCCTAAGAGAAGATTTTTTACCATCTGGGTGTTTTTATGACCTTCAGCAACCATTTGTAAAACAAATTGTTGCCAGTTTCAACTTTTATGAGAATGTTATTATAATACTGAATTAGTTAAACAGATCTTTCCGCAATATAATTCACTATAACTGTCTTCTCAAGTTTTTCAATTCCACTTTTTTGTACAGGTTCATCGTATTGAAGGGCATTTACCTCAAAAATCTGCATTGATTGAAAATCTAATAATAACATTTTTTATCACGAATTACAAAGGATGAAAACCCCAAGATTGTAATAAAAAATAAATTTTATTTAAATGCAGAATGTATATTTTTAGTTGATTTTTTAAATTTTATTCTTCACATTTCTCTACTTCCGGAATAACTTGACAACTAACAACTTGACTCTAACTAGGTTAGAGCCACCAGAGATTGTTTGAATTTTTCTCCGGTAACATTACTGATTTCTAAATATAATATTCGGATCATTTCTCAGGTAACTCATGAATAGTAAACCATGATATGGTTCCTTCATTGCTTCTGATGACAGAAGCCAGGCTCTGATGTATCGTTGGGCCTGCAGTGCCTGTGATCGGGAGGTACTATGGTTCGAATGTCGGGATTTTCCACACTAGCTAAATAGCTAAGTGAAATTGAGCCGCTTTCTGCAGAGTAATAGAAGATGACTGTTCTGGTCGGTAGTTTTTTCGTGGTTTCTCCGTTCAACACCAGGCAAATGCCCGAGCAGTATCCTGACAAATGATCCATGGACAGCGCGCTATATTTCCTTCGTCCTTGTACTATCCTCACCCCTTACATACTCACACTTACATTTATGTGAACTACACTTGTCATGAGACCAGTTATGGGCTTACAACTAGTTCCGGTTGGGGCGGTGCTCTTCTAGCGGGAGAAACCTGTATTAGAATCACCCCGCAGGACTACGTTCAGGACGGCCCCGGATCTCGTCATCCAGAGGAGGAAGAGCACCGTCACAACTAGTCATTCGTAAAATATTCTCTACACTTACGGGACTAATCACCAGAGCAATGATGATGCTGGAAACACTAATCAGTCAGCTGATTGTGATTGTTTTTCGCATACTCTCAGCATCAGCGAAAATATTTTTAATACAACAAAATATGATATAGGACAAAACGTCTAGAGCGTGTTT